CCCTCTGGAGGGTGCGACCGTGCGGAACGGCCAAACTCGAACAGAGTGAAAACGTCTCCCTGCCAAATAACTGAGTGAAAACGCCTGCCACGTAGTTGCCCAGCGGAGGCTGGGCGCTCGTGTGTGGGGTCCAAGCCTAAGTGGGAGATATCGTTAGCCCCCGAATAGAACGCACGGTCAATATCGCTGAATACGGACTGCAAGGTGGGCCAAATACAGCTGGAAAAATGATCGTACTTTCTATTCGGGGGAAGACGGCAGGCCCTAAGCCGGACATAAGCCCCCGAATAGAACGCACGGTCAATATAGCTGAATACAGACTGAAAGGTGGGCCAAATACAGCTGAAAATGATCGTACCTTCTATTCGGCGGAAGACGGCAGGCCCTAGGATGGGTTTCTTCCCTGGAACGGATTACGTGTTAGCCGAATCTAGACTGAAAGTTGCACCAAATACAGCTGAAATGATCGTACCTTCTCTTCGGCGGAAGACGGCTGGCCCCGGGATGGGCTAAACGCATTACTTGTTGCCAACTGTAGGTAAGAGAGAGCAACGGTCAGTGTTCGGTGCTTTTGCAGAGTGGGGACGACCACCTTTGGGTTTCTTCCCTGGAACGGATTACTTGTTAGCCGAATCTAGACTGAAAGTTGGGCCAAATACAGCTGAAATGGTCGTACCTTCTACTCGGCGGGAAGACGGCTAGCCCCGGGATGGGCTGAAACGGATTTAATTTACTTGTTGCCGACTGTAGGTAAGAAAGAGCAACGGTCAGTGTTCGGTGCTTTTGCAGAGTGGGGACCACCACCTTTGCGGCAATACAGCTGCTGTTAGCACACGGTCACAGGTATTCATTTTCTGGGCATTAATAATGATAAATGATAATGATAATGATAATTTGACAATTAATTAACACTTTTCAGTGATTAATTGATTCGTAATGGATTAACGAATGGACGAGGTAATTAATTGATTAATTTACAAGGTTAATTATAGACGATTCCCGCGACTAATCAGTTCAGGACATGATGAGGTGAGCCCCCCCCCTCCTCCCCCCCAAAAAAAAACAAAAACAAAAACGATTAATTACTGTTCCCAGTCAGCTCACGGGTTGTCAGCCT